AGAGCAGTACATGTGAAAAGGATCTAGGAGTCTTGGTTGACCACAAACTTGACATGAGCCAGCAGTGTGACGCGGCAGCTAAAAAGCCAATGCAATTCTGGACCTCATCAATATGAGTATAGCATCTGGATCAAGGGAAGTAATAGTGCCACTGTATTCTGCTCTGGTCAGACCTCACCTGGAGTACTGTGTCCAGTTCTGGGCACCACAGTTCAAGAAGGACACTGACAAACTGGAACGTGTCCAGAGGAGGGCAACCAAAATGGTCAAAGGCCTGGAAACGATGCCTTATGAGGAACGGCTAAGGGAGCTGGGCATGTTTAGCCTGGAGAAGAGGAGGTTAAGGGGTGATATGATAGCCATGTTCAAATATATAAAAGGATGTCACATAGAGGAGGGAGAAAGGTTGTTTTCTGCTGCTCCAGAGAAGCGGACACGGAGCAATGGATCCAAACTACAAGAAAGAAGATTCCACCTAAACATTAGGAAGAACTTCCTGACAGTAAGAGCTGTTCGACAGTGGAATTTGCTGCCAAGGAGTGTGGTGGAGTCTCCTTCTTTGGAGGTCTTTAAGCAGAGGCTTGACAACCATATGTCAGGAGTGCTCTGATGGTGTTTCCTGCTTGGCAGGGGGTTGGACTCGATGGCCCTTGTGGTCTCTTCCAACTCTATGATTCTATGAATCTGTTCTATGATTCTATGATTCTCTTCTCTTAATTCCTTTTTATGTCACAAAAGGACATAAATGAAGCTTAGAAAATGAAGTAAATTATTTAAATGATGCACTATACTGAATGCCTCAATGTAATGTAGCAGAAGGCTTCCTCTTTTTCAGAACAGGGACACACACACCCATACATATGATGTCTCACTGTTTTGACCCACCTTATTGAGCCAGCTGAGGCTCAGTTATGGGTCCTGACCAACCTCCCGAAGAGCAATGGCACAAAGTATATCATTTGACAACAGATACTTTTAAAAATCTGGTGGATTTACACAAAAAATTGTTTAGGACCAAACAAGCTACCATGAGTCACTTCTTCCAGGAAACCCAGCCTATAATATAGCATTTGCCCCAACATCTGGGAATATAGGCACAATACACTGATACAGAATTACGCTATGGCCATAACTTTCCAATTGCCAGTGTGGGTTAGCTAGAGTTTAGGGGAAGTTTGAGAAAGCCTTTCCTCCTTCCAGGAGGGGAGGTGTTGTGATCGGGAGACGATTCCTGCATCATGCAGGGGGCGCTCTTGCTTCAACTCCAGGGCTGGCGTGCCACGCCCCTCCCCGGTTGGGCACCCAATAGGGAAGCTCGGCGGGGGCGTGGCTTGCTGCTCAAACGCAGCCACGCCAGCCTCCCTGTTTGGGTGACCTCTCCTGCCCTCAACTCAAAGCCTGATGTCACATGCTGTCCCACTTGTCATTGCCCACTCCACACATTTTAAGATATGCTGAGGACAGACTTGCCTTAAAACACACACACAAAAGTAAATATGCCTTGGGTGCTAGTAAGACAGCTAGACCTATCTGGAGATTAGAAGCTAAGAAGCTTTACAACAATACCTATTGCTCAGTGGTAAAGTGAAGCTCTTCCATATAGAAGATCGCAGGTTCACTGGTTTTCTTTCAGGTAATAGGTTTGGTCATAATTGCCACCTGAGGCTTTGGAGTGCTAATTCTTTCTAACCTCTCCACAGCCTTCAAATTTGTTTCTGTGCCCAGTTTAAAGTGCACATTGTTAGGAAAAATGTATAAGGATTTATCTAATGTATGCTGGAAGTGTAAAGATAAAGTGATGCCTTCCATCAGCTTCGGCTGGTGGCCCAGCTACGCCCCTATCTGGACAGGGATAGCTTAACTACTGTTGTCTATGCTCTGGTAACCTCAAGGTTAGATTACTGCAATGTGTTATACGTAGGGCTGACTTTGAAGACGGTTCGGAAGCTTCAGCTGGTGCAGAATTCAGCGGTCAGGTTGCTCACCGGAGCAAGATGGTTTGAGCATATTACACCGATCCTGGTCCGACTGCACTGGCTACCAATTAGTTTCCGGACCCAATTCAAAGTGCTGGTTTTGATCTATAAAGCCTTAAACGGCTCAGGGTTGCAAGACCTGAAGGACCGCCTCTTTCCATATGAACCTACCCAGACCCTGAGATCTTCTGAGGCCCTTCTTCATGTGCCTCCTCCTCAAGAGGTCAGGACGGTCGCAACACGAGAACGGGCCTTCTCTGCAGTGACTCCCCATCTGTGGAATGCTCTCCCCAGAGAAGTCTGTCTGGCACCTTCATTATACACCTTTAGGTGCCAGGCAAAAACTTTCCTTTTCAACCAGGCCTTTGCCTGATTTGATCTACATCCTATACCCTTTTAAAAAAATAAAAAATAAAAAAAATAAAAATGCTGGCTCTTTTTTGGGGGGTATTGGGTTGTTGGTTATTTTTTTCATTTTATGTATTTGATATTTTATGTGAACCGCCCTGAGACCTTCAGGTATAGAGCAGTATAGAAATTAAATTATTATTATTATTATTATTATTATTATTATTATTATTATTATTAGGTGGTCGTGCAAAAAGGTAATAGGTTTCTGGGAAATGATTTATAATGAATTGAAGAAAATGTTTACGATAACTTTTGTTAAAAAACCAGAGGCCTTTTTATTAGGAATAACAGGTGAAGACATACCAAGAAATGTTAAAAGACTATTTATGTATTCAACTACAGCCTCAAGGATGTTACTTTGCCCAGAAATGGAAAAAAGAGGAAGTACCAATGAAGGAGAAATGGATAACTAAGATGATAGAATATGCCGAAATGGCAAAGATGGCCGTGAAAATCCACGACCAAGGTAAAAAAAAGTTTGTACAAGACTGGACTATATTTATAGAATATCTTAAGGTCCACTGTAAAGACTTAAAAACATTAGCAGGGTTGACATAGCATCTAAGGTGCTAAAATTAAAGGTGTGTGAGGTAATAAAGGGGGGAAACTGGAAACCAGGGGTGGGGGGAAGTCTAGAAGGAATGAAGAATTAAGTAATTTGGATGTTAAATTGTTACATTATTGAAAATTGAAAATAATATATGAAAAGTAAAGTGCACATTGTTTCCTCACAGCAATCTAGTGAGGTGGGTTAGGATGAGGAGTTGTAATTGGCTCAAAGTGACCATGTGAGCTTTACTAAGAAGCTGGAATTTGAATCAGATACCTGAGTTTGTTGGGCATGCAGGCAGTGTTGGTGGTGGTGTGGGACACTGAACTTGCACAGTCTTCCTTCATATCAGAATTGGATTGCTAAAAGCAGGTAAACTCAAGTTCCAGAGGGCAGAAAACACTACAACTTGATTTCTTCAGACTTCATTGTCTGGGGACTACAGTGTTGTGTTTAAAAGTCTAGTTTTGTACATTTTTCAGATAAAGCCAAATTTCTTCCATTTCCTCCATGAATTGTGTGTGTGTGTGTGTGTGTGAATTCATGGTTCACCTCAAGTGCCAAAATGTCTTGGGCTGGCCCTGTTCCAAAGCCTTACTAATTCTGATTGTGAAGGCAAAGTATTGCAACCATGGCTGGTAGCCATTGCTTTCCCTCTCCTTCACTTTCTGATCCTCCTTTAAAGACATCCAAATTGTTAAAATACAGCGGTGTCCAGACCGGACTAGGACCCAGGTGTCTTGGGTTCAAATCACCTCATGGCTATAAAGCTCCCTGGTTGACCTTGGACCAGGTTTAGTCTCTAAGCCTACCCTACCTCACAGAGTTATTGTGAGGATAATTTGGAGAGAGGAATTGCATCTTGTACACCACATTGAGTTCCTCAGAGAAAAGATGGAGTTTTCATGTAAACCAAGAAAGGTGCAGAAACATGTTTTTTAAAAGGTGCCTAGAGGTGGCGAATGTGGGTGAGCACCCAGGCAGAGAGAGAAGGTGGCTCCATAATACAGTGGTACCTCAGGTTAAGTACTTAATTTGTTCCGGAGGTCCGTACTTAACCTGAAACTGTTCTTAACCTGAAGCACCACTTTAGCTAATGGGGCCTCCTGCTGCTGCCGCGCCGCCGGAGCCTGATTTCTGTTCTCAACCTGAAGCAAAGTTCTTAACCTGAAGCACTATTTCTGGGTTAGCGGAGTATGTAACCTGAAGCGTATGTAACCTGAAGTACCATTGTACAATGAAGCCCCCCTCCCCCCAAAAAGAAAACATTTTTAAAAGAACATTCAGCCCACTGTAACTTATGACTAAATGATGGACATTCAGCCCACTATGACCAAATGATGAACCACTATCCTGTCAACAGGTGGGCAAACAGGCGAGTTTTAAGGAGGTGCCAGAAACTGGACCACACTCATGACTTGCCTTATTTCCTCGATTCTCCAGAGGGGTGCGAGGGTTTGGAGGAGCTCTAAGGGAGCTTAGATCCAGCTTCCTGAGCCTTCTAGGTAAAGGTAAAGGGACCCCTGACCATTAGGTCCAGTTGTGGCCGACTCTGGGGTTGCGGCACTCATCTCGCTTTATTGGCCGAGGGAGCCGGCGTACAGCTTGCGGGTCATGTGGCCAGCATGACTAAGCCGCTTCTGGCGAACCAGAGCAGAGCACGGAAACACCGTTTACCTTCCCGCCAGAGCGGTACCTATTTATCTACTTGCACTTTGATGTGCTTTTGAACTGCTAGGTTGGCAGGAGCAGGGACAGAGCAACGGGAGCTCACCCCATCACGGGGATTTGAACCGCCGACCTTCTGATCGGCAAGCCCTAGGCTATGTGGTTTAACCCACAGCACCACCCATGTCCCTGCTTGGGGGTAAATGCAGGGCTAGGCCAGATGTTTGGCAGCTATCTGAAGGTGCCCAGGTGACACAGGCCTGGCAGAGAGAGCGTTCCTGGAGCCCAGAGCCCATTGGCTTCAGTCCTTGGCCAGGCTGTGACCTCACAACAGGCTGCGGAATCCTGCGGAATGTTTTGTTTCCTAGGAGACCAGGTGAGTTGTTTCAAAGGACCCCTGGGTCAGTTGAAAGCCCATACAGTTGGATTGGTTGAAAGCCATTCAGATTACGTCTTCTGTTCTGGTGTTCGGATTAATTGACTGTCACATAATGTGCCGCTGGTTCTGCAGACAGTAAAGCCGTGGGAAAGAGGGGAGACATTGCCTAGTGCAGCAGGTAAACAGACAGATGAAAAATGGACCTCTTAAGTAAGTAAATATAAATAAATAATACCCGTAAAGAACGCTGGGGCTGATGAATTAACGGTCTGACTCAGAAAAAAAGCAGCTGCTTATGCTGCTTCAAGACCAAACAGAGCACATTAGAAAAACAAAATACTGCAAGAGGCATTTCTCTTTTCTGTGTTTCTTTGAACTCTGCTATGAATCCCCTGAAGAACTCTTGTGGGGAGGGGGGAGAATGCAAATTGTACAGCAGGAACATTAAGATATCCAGGCACAACAGTTTCATCCAACACCTCAGCAAATGAACAGTCACAAAGTTGGTCCCAGAAGATTTACCGCCGCAGTCATCTTGCAACGAGGTAGAACTATTTAAAATGAAAATGAATTGACTCTCTGCCGTGTGTATTTTGCAGGGAAATCACCTGCTTGGGATCTGCGGTAGCGATTTGCTTCTCTCTATTTCCCAAGAAAACAAGAATCCAGGAATCTTAGCCAAAAAAAGATATGACAACTTGAAATGCCTAATTTAGCAGGATTCCTCAGGAATTGCAAGAAAGCTGAATATTGTTGTGAAGGAAATTTCTCACAGGCATCTTACCACTAAGTAAACCTAGATTAGCTAAATGGCACATTGACGTGTAGGCTTTTTTCAGTTGCCTCAAACATGTAATTAGTGAATGACCAAAAAATGGTGGGAAATCTGAAGTGCATCTGAATATGTGGGATGGGTGATTGCCACTTCAGTTTTCCTTGATTGTTTCCAACTAGCTTTACCCAATTGCCCTCACTTTCTCAACGTTTCCTTCCTCAGCCACTTTCCACTGCTTCATCTACTCAACTACTTCAAAACTCTGTTTGAGGCAGGTAATCCCTAACAAATGGCTGCCCAGTCTCTAAAGACCTCTCATGAGGCAGAAAACATTGACCCTTCTAGTGATATCATTGCTGAAACATTGCTCTGACCGTTTGTTAAAAAATCACCAAATGTCCTACTAACATCTCCACCCCTGTAGTTTAAACCCATTTGATGTAGTCTTTCCCTCCGAGGCAACATTTAGTATTATTATTTTTAGCTAAATAGGAAAATGTCATCTTTTTATACTACTGTGTCACCGTGGCCAAATCTGTTGTCATTTCTACTCTTAGATCCATTATTTGGCTGTATTGTTCTTCCCTGCAATTACTTTGTGTAGGAAGGTTCTCATACCTCACACGCACAAATACATTGCGTTCAGAACAGAATGAAGTAACAATAGGCATGTGGTAGTTTGTAAAGTGCAAATGCTTTGGCTGGATTCACAACAAATAATGGTTTCTTATTCTGAACTGATAGAAACATCACCTTGCCAACAAAGGTCCGTATAGTAAAAGCTATGGTTTTCCCAGTAGTGATGTATGGAAGTGAGAGGGGTACCATAATGAAGGCTGATCACCGAAGAATTGATGCTTTTGAATTATGGTGCTGGTGGAGACTCTTGAGAGTCCCATGGACTGCAAGAAGATCAAACCTCTCCGTTCTTAAGGAAATCAGCCCTGAATGCTCACTGGAAGGACAGATCCTGAAGCTGAGGCTCCAATACTTTGGCCACCTCATGAGAAGAGAGGGCTCCCTGGAAAAGACCCTGATGTTGGGAAAGATGGAGGGCACAAGGAGAAGGGGACGACAGAGGACAAGATGGCTGGATAGTGTTCGTGAAGCTACCAGAGTGAGTTTGACCAAACTTTGGGAGGCAGTGGAAGACAGAAGTGACTGGCATGCTCTGGTCCATGGGGTCACGAAGAGTCGGACACGACTAAACGACTAATCAACAACTTCAACATCCTGAACTGATAAACTCTGCTTTGAGAAAAGTCCTGATGGCATGACAAACTGCTGTTAACTACAGTTGAAAGCTTCCATTTCATCATCATCATCATCATCATCATCATCATCACGTACACCAGTACACAGTAACATAGTGCACAGTGGGGCAGAGTTGTAGAAAAGACCCTCCCCCCCAAAACACACACACCAGCACCCTGCTGTTTACATGAACTGGGATGCAGCATGTCAATGGTGAGATTGTACTGGTATGGTTTTACCAATGAAAGCATCTCCACCAATCTGGAGCTCCTCTCAGTGTAGTTGGGAACCCCCAACAGTGGGGTGTGGTCAGTGCACTAGGGGGACTCCTTCTCAAAACCCAGGAAGTGTATGTCCAACTTAGGGAGGAGGGCACAATGCTCACACACAAATCACCCTCACAAGCTGGCGCCTCCAGCCCTAGCTGTTCCCCTATGATAAATTTCACCGCACACCAATGACCCCCAACCTTGCTACCATTCCATCCCAGCCTGGTTTAAGTGGCGAATCAGGGGATTTTGATCAATACGGTTTTGTTTGTTTTTAGTTTTTTATTTATACTTTTTCAAATTTATGCATTTCCTTAGTTTTACAATCAATTTAACATTTCAAAATTTGACTTCCTTCTCCCGCTTTCTGCGGTTCCTGCAATTAATTTTTTTAATATCTTCTGCATAGCCAAATTCATTTAACTTGCTCATTTAACTATCTATTGTAAATATATGTACTCTTACAAAACTGCAGGTTATTACAATAATCCTGCTAATGTTTTTATCTGTTTACAATTTATCTGCAAATATTCTGTAAACCATTTCCATTCTTTTATAAAAAGTTTGGTATCTTGATTTCTTATTCTTCCAGTAAGTTTCACCATTTCTGCAAATTCCATAAGTTTTTGTATCCATTCTTCCTTTGCTGGGACTTCTGCTTCTTTCCACTTTGGGGCAAGTAGCAGTCTTGCTGTTGTAGTAGCATGCATAAATAAATTTCAAATAAACTGCTGTTGTACAGCAGTTTCTCTTATAATTTTGGACAGTTTGCCAGGCATCCTTGGCAACTACTTGACTTTTTAAGAAGAGGCACCATTTTAATGTGTTAGATGAGGAAAGATGGGAACTCTTATAAAAGCTTAGCCATTTCACCAGTTGGCAGTAAAGAGAAGGGATTGTGTTATTTACTATTCACACAGCTCTAATCATAACATTTATATCCAAAAGCATCTGGTAGATAAAAACCACAACACTGCACACTGGAAAGTATTTTAATTGTCCCATATTCATCCCACCTCTCTATTATTTTGTTATCTGAAATTAATATGGTTTGGAGGGTTTTTATATATCAAGCTCTGCTCCATTTTGGACACAGGGATTTTACATCCTATAAATAAAATATTAAGCTGGACCAGTGTACGGTGAGCAGAAATTGGACAAAATTATTACATTAATATTAACACAGAGATACAAGGAATAACCAACATGAGGCCGAGCGAACTACCGTTTTATGACAACCATTGCCCCTCTTTGCTTCAAAACGCGCCTTAATGCTTGTTATTTATACTGTTTCACACAGTTTAGCTTATGTTTTAAATATAAACTCTTCCTTCTACCTAATTAGAAGGGGGAAATCTCCTCATTTAGGAGGTTTCTGCTGAGAGATAACCTTTTCTGCATGAGATAACAGTAGACGATAACATCCTACCCACTTGGGAGGCTTGTAAGTGACTGCAAAATTTTGTGCTTGTATGTTCACCTATAGAAAGGTTATACAACCCTGAGGAAGGTATCATAGTAGTTAGTATATGAAACTACATCATCTGCTTTATTTAGTGCTGCGTTGAAACCTGCCTGCACTTTCTTAAAACATTTCTTCCCCTGTGGAAGAGGGCTTTGATTTGTCTGTGTTTTCTTTCTCAGGACACTTTAGATATTTGTCTTCAAATATTTGGTGGCGCAGTGTTGAGCTTACTATGTAGTTGTGAAGTGGCAGTGGGTGGTGTGAGCATATCTCTCTCTCTTTCTCTTTCTTCCTATTAAACATTTCTCGAGCGCTCTGCCATCTCCCCTGCTGCCTATGCTTCGTGATCTGAAATAGTCCCATGGGAGAAGTTACCTCAGGTTGTCTTCCCCTGGGCTTTAAGTGAAGAATGGGAAAATGAAGAATGGAAATGAAGAAAGGGAAGTGCCTTAGATCAGTGCACTCAATCATTCTGTTTTTTAAGGAAAGTTATTCCCTTTAGGTTAAAATAATAATAATCTGCATTTATTTCTTTAATAGTGTGTATGTATATGGGTCTTTTCCCCCCAGCTGGAGCTCAAGAAAACTCAATTTCAGCACCTCTCAGGTGGGCACCATTCTAAGAGAACAAGGGTGAGCCCTGGCATCACTGTTTCTAGAAAACATCACTGTTTCTAGAAAAATAGCACTGTCTATGTATTTGTGTGTGTGTGTATGTATACACACCCACAGACACACAGCCCAACAAGACAACAAGGCCCCGCCAATAGCATGCGAATCATTCTCGCTAACCTGACCCAAACACACACACACACTCACACACAAAAACAAATTTCGCTACAGCCAATCAAAAGACAACCAACCACACCCTAGGCCAACCCCAACCTCTCTCACCACCAAAGAACTACAAGAGAATAGTAAAGAAAACCCACACAAGTGACGCTGACACAAAACCCCACTCATACACTAAGTAAAAGCACTGCCACGTGACCACACACCCCTCATCATTCTCCCCTCTACCTCTTCCCCCTTTTTCTTCCTAATGTAGCACCAATGTCTCACGGCAAATGAAACTGTAGAAAACGCAAAACATTGCACATACTTTTGTAAACCAAGAAATCTTTATTCACACAAAAAGAGAACGTATGAGATGAGCAACTGCCAGGCACACAGCAGGAAGCTTCCATGTCTTCTCGTGATTATAAGAAAGCCTAGCTGAGGTTGTCCTGGAGTTGCCAGGAAATTCAGTCACCCAAGAGTGCTACAGAGTGCTTATTCAGATGATTTTTAGAATGAGAAAAGTACACTCTTCTCTGACACATACTTTGTTCACCTTAAGAGGAAGGTAAGTGCCAAACCCCAGAGCCCCCCCCCAAAAAACCCCCCATGCATAATTTCTGAAAATGGTCTGGAAGCTCCAGTTAGTGCAAAATGTTGTGACTGGACTGTTGATGAGGACAGAAGAAGAAGAAGAGTTTGGATTATCACTACCGCTTTATCACTACCCGAAGGAGTCTCAAAGTGGCTAACATTCTCCTTTCCCTTCTTCCCCCACAACAAACACACTGTGAAGTGAGTGGGGCTGAGAGACTTCAAAGAAGTGTGACTAGCCCAAGGTCACCCAACAGCTGCATGTAGAGGAGCGAGGAAGCGAACCCGGTTCACCAGATTATGAGTCTACTGCTCTTAACCACTACACCACACTGGCTCTATCCCCAGAACCTAACTGTGGTGCTTAAACATTCTCAGGTGACCTGAGCTGCTCACCTTGGCCCCAAGGAAAGAACTGGGCCACAATGTCTCGGGAAGCTCTTAAATATTTACTCATTTCCACAATTAGAAGTTTCACGCCGGAGGCACTGAACAGTGAAAAGATAAGTTTGTGTAGGGTAACCGTGACTTGCCGGTATGTGTTTGTGTTCAGTTACTTGGCTGTATCGTTCATCTGCTCTGTATTTCTCTGCACAGATGGAGAAAAATAAAAATCACTTTTGAGAGTTGCAGAAGCCAACAAAGTAACTTCA